GACCCCAGTACTTTGTCCTGCCATGGCAGGGCGTTGGACCAGATGATCTGTGCAGGTCCCTTGTGACCCAACCTACTATGACACTATGAAACTATAAGGGCTGTGCCTGTGCCCTGCCCCTGCAGCTGCCCAGGGTCCTGAGTGGGGGCTGGCTTGGGGATCTCAAGTAAGACCGTGCTTTCTCCTTGCAGCAGTGCTGCCAGCTGAGCTCTGCCTTCTTCTCTCCTCGTACTCCCAGGCGCAGCACTCACTCACACCAGCACTTGGATCAGAGTCTCCTTGGTGATGGTGATGGGAGCAGGAGCCATCATGACTGTCACAGCCATTTGTTTCTGTAAGAATAGGAGGAAAGGTAGAGCGGGAAAATGCCACTTGTCTGCAGGGCCAAAACAGGCGGGGATAGGCCAGAGAGGGTGGAGGATGGGCAGCGATGGACCTGGGTGTGCAGAGACCTTTCCTGCAACCGGCCTGCCCACCCCAGGGCAGGATTCACCTCCTCACCTCCCAGTGCCCAGCGCAGGCTAGTGTCTTCCAGAGATGGACTAGACAAGAGCATGGAGGGGTGCGGAGACCAGCAGCAGCAGGGGACACCCCCTCCGTGGTGCCCAGGGGTCCAGGCACGTTGAGACCTGGAGGAACCCCAAACTTCACACAGCCCCTTGCATCACAGATTGTGCACCTTTCCCTGCCCGGGGCTGCGGGTCTGGCGTGTCGGGAGCACTGGGGCCCTGGGAGCAGACCCCACGCAGGGAGCAGGAGGGGCCGGGATCCCCAGAGCCCCCAGCCCCAAGCATGCCCCCGGCTCCTGCCCCTAGGACAAGAGGTCCCAGGCTGACTCTTCTCTTTGCTCCTCAGAGCCACGGGGCTGTGGGGAAGGGCAAGAGGAGGGGTGTGTGGTCCAGTTCCCAGGGAGCCCCATCCGCTTGATTGGAGCCTGGGGCCTGGCTCCTTCCCAAGGGAAAGCAAAAGCCAGAGAGGAGCTGCTGGGATCCATTTTAGCTTCACAGGGACAAGGACTCTGGCAGGACGGAGGGAAAGATGCAGCCCTGGGTGCAGTGGCCGGCCAGCCTGCTCCTTCCCAAAGCCCTGCTCCTTTCTCCCCTCTTCCCTGCCCCATGGGGTAATCCCAGTCCTGCTGCTCCCCTGGTGCAAGTGTCGGGGCACCCAGGGGCTGGTGCGGGTGTGCAGCCCTGGAGGCAGCCTGGGCATACCCCGTGGGAGGCACGTTCAGTTGAGGGAGAGGGGGCAGTTCAGTGTGTGGGGGTGAAGTCCTGTCGCCACGAGCGCAGCAGGCCCCTGCC